CTCTGGGATCTTACGGCTTCGTGTGCCTTCTTCGTCACCAGAAACTACTTCAGAAATGGAGCAACAGTTCACTAAATTATAATCTTTATTTTCTAGAATTCTATAGCACCTATTTACTGAGCATGGTATGGGGAATCACTTCTATGGCTACGTATCGTTCGAAACTATAATTTGAGCAAATAGCTTTTAAACACGGATCAACAATGTTGGGTAGAGAATTGGCAGCACCTCAAGAGACTAAAAGAGCTACTTATGGAGAGGGTCAAAGCGAAGCCCCTATGAATGAGGGGGCATATTCTTCACGATGGTAAGTCTGTGGTCGAGAAAAAAAACAGCAGGGTTAGGAGAGCCGTCAAAAAGGACCGAGGACGTAACACGCGCAACACCAGACGCTACATTTGGGTTTCAGTAGCAATAAAAATTGTCATAGAACTCTTCAAGGCAGTAACAATTCTATCTATATACAAACGATGTGACAAGATTGAAGACAACGTCTGTGTTTTTACGCCATCTCATACCGGTAAACATTGCTGTGAAAAGTTAAGGAAGAAAAGGTCTGAAACTTGACTGTCGCCTAAACCTACACCCGGAAAAAATGATGGACGAGTTTTACGGGCGCAAGTCGTCCACTTCGTTGTGGGACCACGCGTCCCTTTAACTTCATTTGAATTAGGATACTTCAATAAGAGCGGTTTTTTTGCAGATTATCGCTTTTGTGCGTAATCATGGTTAATATTTTCGAGATCTGCTTCGATTAGGAAACACATGTGACCTGAGGTGCAACCGGAAACTTGAGCACACCAACTACATCTTCTGTTTTTTAGGGACTACATCCCGTCGGGTGCCACCATTTTTAGAAGTTCTGCCACTCAGCGTTGGATTTCAGCGCAGGAAGATATCTACAACCTATCTTCGGTATTCTGTGCACACAACCGCTGTTATAAGAGCTGTTTGTTAGATGTCCGGCGGCGAAAATTTCCGTTTGACATGTGGTTTGGAGACACTTTTGACTCGCTCAGTTTTAGAGAGCTCTCGAGGGAAAGAACTGTTGAGTTCAGCTGTTAGATCTAGATTCATACTGCGATCCTTCACAAGCCGCAATGGTAAACGAATTAGTAAAAATACAACCGCAATGTTTTAAATGCAGCTAGAATGGAGAAGAGTACTGCCGCGTGGAAACGTGAGTTAATTCTCTCAGAATCATTGGCAGATGTTATAGTATAGTCTAGTGTAGTACAGTCCACAACATAAAAACGCTCTTACTTGTGTTCTCCCACCCCTTCTGCAGGTGAACGAGAGCAGCCCGAGTACATACATGACTGCTGGAGCCATTCTTACTCAGCGGAAGCTCCGGAACGCGAACCACATCGACGGGGGGGGGCATTTTGCTTTCCATAGATGTGTCGACCCATCTAGGTAGCGTTTTCTCGAGTTGACACGTTTTGGGATGGTGGCTAGACGATCCTGCTCCAGCTTTACAAGAGTTCACAAGTTTTACCAAGTGTGAGATTTGCAAACCGGAACAAGGGAAGCAGTGATAGTACAAAATGCCCCCCCCCCCCGTCGATAAACAGCCGCCGGTAACTTTTATCCTTTTTCATCAGCCTTTCTAACCAGAGGCAGATCTCGAAAATATTAACAATGATTACGCACGAAAGCGGACAATCTCGCAAAAAAAACCCGCTCTTATTGCAGTTTTCAGTTTCACAGTTTCACAGTTCACTACTTCAAATGAAGTTAAAGGAACGCGTGGGAAGTAGACTACTTGCGCCCGTAAAACTCGTCCGGCATTTTCTCCGGGTGTAGGTTTAGGCGACAATTGAAACTTGGGGACTGAGTGCTCGCTTCACTTGTAAACAGGGTTGGATACATGGAACATGGGAAAGAGCTGACAGGATGGGAGCTGTAGGTGCTAGAAAATCGAGGATGAGTTTTAGTGAGCTCAGTTCGACAGTCTGACAAGATGCTGTAGGGTCGCGTCCTAAGGTGGCGTAAAACATGTTAGGAAATCTAGTGAATGTATTTTCCGTGCTGATCATATGGGCGGGAACAACCTAACATATGGTTTCCTTTGTTGGCGCCCCCTCTCAGAGATGAGGTGAGGAGGCGCCAACAAAGGTGAAGAACTGAGCCCCAGTGAGTAAGGCATATTGGTTGACTGTCTCCGCCCACATAATTAGTGTGGAATGTGCCTTCAACACAGATGTTGCTTCAAACTTGTAGCCAAATTAAACACGAGCATTACCCTACGACTCTAGATGTCGCCATGTCAATCTAGTATTCAGCAAATTTGACATCATTGTGATGCGCTTGTCAGATCCGTGAAACAGAGACTCGAATCGAGGACACAACCGACGGACCATGCCTGAGCTGGGCAACTTCCACCGCAGATACTGCCGTTTGTGTTAGTCAGTTCAGGTAATGAACTCCATGCGGATTCCTGAAAATTTCAAAGAGTTTCGCAGTTTTGACAGAGACTCGGGAAGAACTGTATACCCTTATGTGACTATAATAATTGCCAAGTCTTTGCTGGACTTCCTTCGCAGCTGAGGCCCACTCAGATCCACCCAGTATTCGACCGATGAGCAGTCGTGCTCGAAGGTAAGTACCGGCAACCCACAGCCATTCCTGAATGTATAGAAATCAACTTCTCATCAAGCCTGTACTGCATAGCTATAGTTCCATAACAGGACCCAAGGAAAGTATCATTTCTCAACTGGCAGTGAAATAACACAGTTGGCTGAAAAAGCTCTCACCGGTCCTTGATGATAATTCCATCCCTTGGCCGTTTGCTTATTAAGTCCATCGTCATTATTGTTATAATCACCGTTGTAAGCCCAATCGCTAAATTACATCTCATATGACATAAGTAAATAATAGCATGGTAATAACTGATAATAATTATGTAAATAAATAAAAAAAGAAGTGAGTGCCTAGATAAATCGTTTGAGAAAGCTAGTCAGCTCACCTCGGATCTAAGGTTTTCATTCCCAATGGTCCCAACAGGTGTTCTTTTGCCATATCGAGAGCACGCCAAGCTTTGTGAGGATCAATCAACGTGGGAGCCTAAGATAAGCAGAAAGCTATACTGGTTGTATGAAAATGTGTGGTGAAAAAGGAGTGGAAGTATACCCAACGTACTCAAGAGAACTATTAACTAAGTAAGTGGCGATATGGAAAAATAGGGAACCAGAAGTGATATTAGGTTGTCCGGAAACCTAATACCTTACAGTTGGAATCACCTTTGACTTCAGGAACATTGAGACACATGATAATCAGCAGAAAAACAAAAACCATGGAGGATGGGTTTCATGAGAAGTATGAAACCTTTCACGATTTTTAGGAGGTTGCCGCTTTACTTTGGTATCTAAGGCCAAGATAGGGTCCAAAATGTTCTCATAGAACTCTACCCTCGAGACAAACGTGGCAAATTGTTAGTTCAGACTTTTACAGAAACAATAATTACCGCAGCTAGAGCGACGACGTAGTTACATCTGAGCTGATAATCTGTGAAACCGAGAGACGAGCCAACGGTGTCCTTTAGTATATTCTTTTGATGCACCAAATCACCATTCGCATCTTCATTAATAAAGAACTGGTCCTCGAAAATGCCTTCCAATCTTCTCTGCCCAATCTGACCATGTCCAAAACTCGTCACCTAAACGACAACACATCCTGGTTTCACTGGTCGGAATTCGTGTGACTGTCCAGTATCACCCTAGCAAACAAAAATTTTATTGTTGAGTCCTTTCATTTACTTAGTACATCAGCCAACTCATACTCATGTTTGAAACGACAACTTTTCCTAATAAAAGTAACTTTCAATAACGTTATGAAAGGATTCCAGTTCGAATATTCCTCTTAGAGTGGAAGTATGCAGAGAAAAATCATTCAAAGAGGAAAATAATTGAAATATTCAAAAAGTCGAATAAATGAGAAAGACTGAGGGCGTAGAAAGCGAAGAGATAACTTGTGGGAGAGCAGATCAATTCTGGCAGGGGCCCCAGGAAGAGGCGCGATCTTGGTGCGAACTAGTGCATATAAAAGAGTGATGGTAACATGGAAAGACGAACCGAAGTGATCTTCCTGATCCCTGACCTCGCTGAGGTCGCGGTGCCACCTCCCCTTGTTTCAATCCTCGGATTTTCCTTCTTCTTACTTAATTTATTTACTGGCATTCATATTGTAAAGTGTTGTTGTTCTAACAAATTGTTTTTCTTTTCATACCGTACATATCCGGTACAAACTCCGCACTTTTCCTGCACCTGTCCTTACACAGAAAGCAAGCAAAAGCAAAGTCCTCCCTCATCAGTAAGTGAAGGAGAGCAGCCCTACAGCAACGAGCCATAAAAGCTAGGCTCGAGTGAGCTTGAAAACTCACCACTCCTGACTCCATTCTTGTCTATGACACCAGCACCGGCCCATTCAGACATCGCTTTCAATACGCTATAAGCGAGTGCTTGTATTTCAACTGCCGCTCCATCCCGTGGAGTCGCTGGCTCTCCTCGGTTGCCAGCCTGAACGGATTCGTTGGATGTTTTCCGCAATACAAGGCGAAGCAAAACATCTAATAAACATGGTGGAGAGCTGCACTGAAAATGAGCCCTGTAGCTGTAGCGCCCCGGCCAGCCGTTCCACATAACTTATGGTTACTAACACTGGCTATCTCCCAACGTGAGATCAATGAAACATGCCCGGATTCCTAAACCACTTGAAATAATCTCTT